TTAGGTTATGAAGTGGGAAGGAGATAAAGTTGAAATATTTTGTTAGTGCATCATGAAGATTAAAGGAGTAGATTATCTCAGATGAAGTTTCCATCAGCACCACTTTGGCTAATAAATAAGAAAATGAGTGAGCAGGAGGGCTTCTGGTCTTACCAACTTTTATAGGGTCCCCACAGATGGGAATGAGGAAACTTGCTATTTCTTTGTTTATTCTTTCCCCCTTCTTGTCTGACTTGAAGTCTTTTATAATGATTTAAATCCACCTTCAACTGTACCCAATTTAAAAATGACTATTTAGACAACTCAGCCTATTCTATCAGTGAGGTTTTACTGATATTATTTCTTTTATCATTCATCCTGATACTCTTACTCTGCTCAATTATTTTCCCTGAGACTATGTAACCTGAAAATTTCTTCACTAACATGAGAAGTTACCCTGAAGTTGCTGATCTCTCCCTAGTCTATTAGAGATGTTTGTGCCTGATAATTATTAGGATGCAAGAGGAAAATTTATGTTTCATATTTTATTTACTAACAATCTGAAGATAAGTTAAAGATTTCCTAATAAATGTCAATAGCATGTTTTTTTCATTTTATTTTCTGTTCATTCACAAAAGGTAATACAGACACGAAGAAAGAGCATCAAGATAGTCCAAAAAAGTGTCAGGATATTCCCATATATCACTCATTAATAATTCTTCCTGGTCCTGCTTCAAGCCAAAGGCAGTGAAAGAGATGAGGAAAGGGAAGGAAGATATGATGCTCTGTACTTGAGATCTAGCTAGCATCAGACAAGCTTCTCCATTCTGATGGACATTCACCTCCCAATAATACAGTAACAATAAAGTCTTCCTATGTAGGAGTTTTCTTGAGAGGAAATAGACCAATTGGGAAATATAGTTTCCACATCAAAGAAGGGCACATCTTAAACACATTTAACAATTAGGAAATCACTGCAAAGCACTCCCTAAAAAACAAAACATTGAAAAACAATTACAAAAGCTCACAGTTTCTCTATTCTCCTTTGGACATATATCTAAAAAGAAGGGAGAAAAGCATTTCTGAGAAGCCAAATCAAGAGAAAAGAGAAGCTAGGATGTTGACATATTTCTTCCTTGTCTACTCTGCTTGAGTGCTTTAATGATGTTAGCTTGTAGAATCCTCCCACCCCTTGCACCATATGCAGAATATTTTTCCACTGTATAGTGGAGGGAATTAAGGTGCAAGAACCTCAGCAGCAAAGAACAAACTCAGAGATAAGGTTGACTGATTGCAAAGTTCTACTTCTCCTGATGTGATAGCCAAGAGCCTAAGCACATTGAAGTCAGCATTCGGTGTCATGAGAAGGTGAAAAGTAAAGGGCTCTGGAATTCACTCTTCACAGCTTCTCTGGCAATACTGTAATCTTGCTTCCCTCTTAGACCTTTCTCCACCTTCAATAATGAACCTAAGTTTTCAGCAGTCTCCGGGAAAACAGTGGAGATGAGTAAGAGCACACACAGTGGGAAGAGTGTCTACCTGCTCTGCAGCAGAGTGCTGTGAGGAGAGAAGAAAAAACAACTGTTTCCTATACCAAGGAGACAATACGATGCTTACACATGTGGATCCGATTTATGTCACTGGTGTATTGAAATGAACAGTTAATGCTCACAATTTTTTATGTTCTGATCCACTTTGCATGCTTGTGTCTGGTGGTCTGAGCAACTGATTTGAAGGTAACAATATGCAATGGAATTACAATGGTGAACTCCTACCATCTTGTCCAGTGAAATGCTCTAATATCTCTAATGTTTTATTGGAGAATTATTTTCTTAATCTCTTTAATGGTTTGAGCAATCTTTTAATCTTACATCTGATAATCTGAGCAACGTGGTTGAGGATAGTGGTATGCAACATAACAACCACTGTTGACTTGTATTAATTTGTCTTGAGACCCTGTATCACTTTGAATGTTTTTGCTTTGCTTTGTTTATGTTTGTGATACTGGTACGCTGCTACTGTTCTATTTTTTTGTTTGTTTGTTTCTCATGTACTGCTCTCCTTAAAACAAAAAAATTTTAAAAATTAAAAAAAAAGAAAGAAAAAGCAACTGTGTCCTTTGGAAGAGAAACATTGCTTACAAATGGCCCCATTTAATGGCACACCATGTTAGAGAAGCAGGCAGTCCGGGAGGTTAGGCAGCTCTGGCACCGGCTACTTATGAGATATCACATATCTTGAAATGGGGGTGACTATATTCTGACTGTGCAATTGCTCTTATTGAGCTATTGTTTATTTGTTTGTTTATTCATTTCAAAAACTTCTTTTATACTAAAACATTTTTTGGAAACCTAAAACAGTTTTTGCTTTGTTAAGTTTAGGTTCTATTTTTTTTTTATTTTAAAAATAAAAGGAGGAAAACATTAATGGACAGACAACCTTTTACAAAATAGCAAAAGAACAGTACAGACAGTACAGAGTTACAAACAAAGTGGTAGGAAATTAACAGTGCTTCTTGTATTACATATCGATATATTCAAGGTGGTTTCTCATGAAAACAGATAGAGACATGCAATATTAATCAATCAAGGACTTATTGACAGTTTGGATTCTATTTCTTGACATTAATCATATTAGAAGGTGAAGAAAAGATCAAACATTTATTAAAAAATTATGACATTGGTATCATATGTTAACATAAATAGCACATATTTCTTAAAAACAATAGCTGTATATCCCAAACATACATATGAGATAAATGGTATTGTTTTACAACTTTATAATTCTCTTTCATACTTAGCTTAATAGAAACTGGCTAGATTCCCTTATCTGCTTCTGTATTTTGTTTCTGGTGATATTTGGTGTCTTGTTTGAAATGTATAGAAACCTCCTAATTTCACACAGATTTGAAGCTGGGAAAGAAAGGACTTCTCAGAGAGCCCACAAAGATTTGGAACCAGAATCTGAGAAAAGCAGCTCTAAAGATTCTAGAGAATGCACATGTAGAAAGGTTTTATGTGTCAAGACACATAAAATAGGTGCTTACTAAACTGTACAAGAAAATCTTATCTTCGAGTTTCAGAGTACCGACACATTTATGCCTAAGAAATGTGCTCTCAGAACATACAGTTTATATACCACAGTGACAGTAGTAATTGCAACCAAGGGAATGAATGGAAGTACAAATTCTTGTTGAGCATTCATTTATACAAAGAAAGCTTTGAATGCCCTTGACCTCACTTAAGTCAGAATTCTGACAACAGCTTGGTATTTTAACAACTGTAGGGTAACTAATTAAAAAATATCAAAGACCTAAAATGCTCAATGTGAAAGCACAGAATATAAACGAGATTCATGAATATGCTTTGATTCCAGGGATCCTAGGTAACTAAATATTATCCTTTGGAATCTTCTAATCCTCACAAAAATAATTTAACATCATAGGGCTGGAAACCCAAATATCTGAGGTCACTTTAGAATTAGCAAGCAAATGGAAAGGTGAGTCCTTCTGGAAAAGTCCTTTGGATGCTGCATAAACTTCTGTTAATATTAGCTTTTTTATTTTTTAACGGTTAGTAATTCAAAACAAATGAGTGTTTAATAATGACTGTATGCATTTGCAGCTGCTTAATAACATTGTCTGGTTTTAAATTAGGGCTTCAATTTCCTTTTCTAACAATAGTTTATTGGGATATAATTCACACACCATAAAGTTTACCTGCTTAAAATAAATACTTCACTGGTTTTAGAAAATTCAAAGCTGTGAATTGAACATAATCTAATTTTTGCAACAGTTGACTTTTCAAAACAGCCAAGGCTCAGTTTTGGGATGCATAGTCAAAGGTCTTGATTTTAGGGTACACACATTTTTGTGTTCACCTTATGAGTGATAAGAAATCACAGCAGCAAGGGTTTCATTTTACCCAGGAGTAAACTTTCCAATGATTTATATTAAGATTCTATTGCAGCTAAAATGATGGATGATATCAAGCTTAATATATTGATGAAATTTTATTTGGAACTTAAGAGCTGTGAAGCTTATTTTTAATAAGATGGTAATTGAGTTAAAATTAAGTTAATTAAAAATTCTTCTTTGAGGCAAGCATATTTAAAAATGATGAACAGAGAAGCAGAACTTCATTAGGTTAAAGAAAAGCTTAATTTACTTTTCCTCACTATTTTATATGTCATGGCTTTTCAAATAGGGCAAGTCTTGTTTTGTTTTGCCTGTATATTTACATCTAGTCCTGTTTGCATTAAGTATGTCTATAATTTATCTGTTCAGAGTTTGGAGAATTATTTTGAAATGGCTGTTAAATGGACTTTACAAGCCATCTGGAGATAATCAGAATGTGGGTAAATATGAGATCACAGTAATATATACAATGAAGTTTTACTAAGTGGTGGACCTTTACTTAAATTGTGGTGGAATATTCCCCTACTTTACACAAGTATGGTGACTGCAGAGTGCTTGTAAAAAAATGCTCACAGAAAGGGTCTTTCATTGCATTGTTTTACTTAGAGCAGCTACTGCTCACCCCTCCTCTTCTGCCATTACTGCTCTGAAAGTGACCCCTGACCAATAGTCCATCTCCACCATTGACGTGGCTCTCTCCTGAGACGCTTATACCACCATTTCGCCTATGAACTACTTTGGGAAGTCATCTTTCCCTCTTGAGTTCAATTCATCTTGGGCAATATTTCCTAGGCTTAGGAAGCCATTCTTTTATCCAGAGTCATTTCCTCCCAGGATCTCATTCAGACCAGATTGACTATGGGACCCACAAACTCCACAGTTGTGTTCAGTTGGCCAAATTATATCTTCCTTAGTATGAGTTTACCCGGAACATCACAATTCCATCTGCCTTTGAGCCACTGCTGTACCTTCTCTGAGCTTTCCAGTCCTACCTGGATGCTACATCCTATATCCCAGCCTGCTGTCCCCCCTCAACCTACACCTACTGGTCACAGACAGTGCTGTGGGTGCTCAAGGGGAAAAACCTCTCACTTGTGTTTTTAAGGGAGCTACATGGCCTGTATGCAACATACCCAAATTCAGTCCAACCTGGGCAACTTCCACAGAAGCTAGAAGAGTTTAAGTAACATGCACCAAGACCAGCTGATTATAACCAAGATGATTTGGTGGAATGTCAGTTGGAGAGACAGACATCTGTATATCCTTTTCCTGTTCTACCACTTTTAATATTGGATGGCATTTGACATAATCCCTGAGTTGGCAATTGAGTTATCTACTTGCACCAGGGAGATCTGGCTCTGCAGAGGCACTTGGATTTGTGCCATCTCATTAAATATGTTTGAGGAACCTAAAAGTATTTTACTATGGTCTGTGTTGTGGGATATGGGATACTGCCAATTTGATAATTGAATCGGGAAATTGATGTTTATTTTAACAAAATCAAACCCCTTTTCAACAAGCATATTTTTTCCCATTATGGGACAAGCATTACATTCTGAGACAAATTTCAGAAGTGTACACCACCCTACTCCTTCCTGATGTGGGCCTCCAGTTGATGTCCCAGCTTCCCACATGTCCCTAACACTGTCATTGTCCATGTGAAGGGTAAATCTGCTACTGAGGTGTCACACCCAAGTTCCATCTCCTGGTTGTGCTCAACCTGAGGTCTGCACTCTCTGATTATCTGGCCCTTGTGATCAGAACCAGCAGAAGCAATAATAGCGAAAAGGAAGATCCATCACAAACAAAAATGTGAAGGAAGATATCTGTCCACATTTCCCTCTGTCTTGCACATAGAGGACATTTACAGGTGAAGATAGTTCCAAGAGAGATATGTGACCATTTTCAAAAGCACATTTACAAATTTAATTTATTTCTGTAACATTGGCTCTTACTTTTAAGTAATAATATCTGAAATGTAGCTGAGCATGTATTCACCTCTGTTGATGCCAAAGACACCTGGACCATACTTCTTTGATCAAATGGCTACTGCAGTGTTAAACTCTGTCTTGAGTATGGGAGATCTCAATTGTGAACAATCAAGATAGGGTATAATACACTTTCTGGAGTCAAATGCAAACGAGAAACACATACTTCAGTAAGTTCAATGAGAAAATATCAGGTGGGTTGGAGGGCCATGAAGTTTGGAGACTTTAAAAACAATTCCCTAGAGAATGTTTCTAGTTGAACCTATAAACTCAGCAGACACCATGCACAGAAAAGAAGAGACTGTATGTACTAGGCAAAGATATAGGAAAAAAACGTCATGAAGGCAGAGCCCAAGGTGTAGTCTTAGAGAAAAGTTCTACCATTTCCACGGCCTCTAACTTCCCTTTCTTATCTCTCCTCTCTTCTGGGGCCAAGCAGGTGCTGTAGGAATGTTGGGGTGCATGGTACCTGGGAAGCGTGCTGTTGAGCTCCAGGGATCAGATACAAAAAGATTCACCCCATTGTGCAACCACCTTTTAACCAGCTTAATCTGAAGTTTCCCTCAGAGAAATATAAAACTTGGAAATGATTTCCACTATCTAATCATAAATGGCTTTCTACTTAGAGAGCTAGGAAAAAGGCAATTTTCCAGTGCGTTTGTAAATGGAACAGCCCCACCTTGACACAAGTCCTCTTTTCTTCACCCCCTAATTCCATTTCTCTGGTGTGCTAACAGACTTTCCCCATTCCACAGATAGCTGATGGGAAGTAATTACTTAGAACCTTCCTGATTCTTCATATAGTATTCCTTCCTATAAAAGCTTCTCCAGGCATATCCTCAAGCTGGCTCATTTCATGCAAATTTTACCTTGCTCATGTTCTGCATTATTGAGAGTTTGTTCCAACTCAGATGCTGCAAGTCAGTTTTCACACAAAGCAATAAGCAAAAACTTTTCCAATGAAGGAAACCCTTAAACCTACATTTCATTTGATCTTAATGACAAAATAATCACTACAGTGGATTAGACAGTGCCTTCCCCTAAAGATATGTCCATGTCCTCATACTCAGAACCTGTGACTATGAATTTATTTGAAAAAGAATGGTCTTTGTAGATGTAGTTTAGTGAAGGATATAAACAGGAAATCATCTTACTCACATGGGCCCTAAAGCCCAGGACAAGTGTCCCTAGAAAAGGCACACAGCCAAGGGGAGGAGGAGGCAATGTGACTTTGGAGGCAAAGGTTGGAACCATGAAGCCACAGGATCAGGAATGCCACAGTCACCATAGGTTGGAACAGTCAAGGAGAAGACTGTCCCCTAGAGCCTTTGCCAATAAACTGCTCCTGGACCACTGGCCTCCAGAATTATGAAAGAATCATTTCTGGTGTTTTAAGCTATTGAGTTGGAGGTAATTTGTTACATCAATCCCAGGAAACTGGTAGTCATTGTAGGCTGTGCGCGCCAAGAAAGCCAGTGCCTAAGTAATACCCAGACTTGGATGCTCTGCACACTGAAAGGGTTGAATGAGTGCAACTTAATTAGTTCTGCTTGAGAACAGAGCTAAGTTATAAAAGCATCTATTATGGAAAAATCTATTTGTGGTATTTATGTGGCATCTGAAACCAGGAAAGGGCAGCTATCTTTCTCTGTTTTTTAAAAAAAGTAAAGAACTGAAGTTTTGGAGGAGTTTTGCACTGGACGACACAAGTCATATGCATGAGGATCTGACAACAAATGAAAGGCCAATTTCCATCCATTTTTCTTCTTCAGACTTCTTCTCTTGCCTCATAGAAATTCCCCCTATACATAAACTCAGTCTCTCACTTGGTCTATCTTGGAATGTTTACTCGACACAAAGATGCTGTGGGGATTAGCCCTTCCCTTCCCGCAGAAGGAAAAACAACCTGGCAACTCTTGCATCAGAACTGCCATAAATTTCTTGCATTATGAGAGAACAGCACAGGCCAACTGTAGGGAGCAGTTGTTTATTTCTCCAAAGACTGATGAAAGGCTGTTGTTTTGTGGTAATTCAGCTTCAGCTTTGCCAGAGAAAAGATTCCCTCTCACCCCTTGGTAATAAAATAGGCTTGCTGGGAGGATGCAAAGACACTAAAAGAAACATTCATCAAGCCATAAGATGCTCTTTCATGAAAACAAAATATGCCGAGCCAGCGACACTGAGTCGTAAGATGCTGTTTGATTTTGCTCTGCTTTCATTCTGTGTCATGTCCAGGATGGGCAACATTCCCAGTTAAAGGCAAATCCTACCCACCACTATAAAGAGTCACAGGCAATAAAATAAGAGTTCCACTCCCTCTGCCGTTCCTCTGCAGCACAATCCAGTTCCGTTTTCAACTCTTGCGGAACCCCAAGACTGCTGTGGAGTTAGAAATGCACTGGCCTGTGAGTCAGACAGAGGACCCCACTCTCGAGGTAATTTTGGAGGCATGGAATCCTCTCCTCTCCCGTCTGTTGGTCAGAGCGGCAGGGAAATAAGATGTTTCTAAATAAGGTCCAGGAAAACTACCATTAATGTGCTTTATTTCAAATTCTTGTTATCAACCATTCATTTTGAATCCACAGATGAGGATTGCCACAGAGGAATAATTTTGTTATATCCTGGATTTTTTAATACTTTGTTTGTTCTTAGTGGAAAAAGATCCAACCAAAAGCTAGTGGAACTAGACTTCTAGCCAGCATAATTACATGAAGCTATTTCAAAACTGAATACAAGTGTTACTGTCTGAGCATAGCCAGTGTAGAAATCCCAAAAATTTTGGAGAGAAAGGCATGCCTCAATAAAGTTTTCCAAAAGCCTTTAATGAGCTGGGCATGTAGCTGAACAGTGTAGCATATGTTTACCATATTTGAGGCTCTGTGTTCACTCCCCAGCACCTCAAAAAGTCCCAGTGAATTGAAACAACAAAAAGCAATAAAGAATCTATACAGCTTATAACTATTACTAGAACATTACCCCAAAAATATAACTGCACTCTAAAAGACACAGAAAAGAATAACATAAATTTCCACCTCCCCCAAGGTAAGATGTATTAAAGAATGGCATACATACTTTCTATAAAGTTAGGAAAATAAAACAGTCTCTAACTAGTACCTAGCTAATTTTCTCATGAATCAAACATGATAATATATGTCTGTAGGTGAGAAAGATGTCATAAGGTGATTTGCAAAGTGGAAACAATCTGGGTTGCATTTCAGGCAACCTGCATTCAGGCCTCTTTTGCTCTTGACCTTTCACACACTATGAGTTTGGGACCAGTATGTTAGCACCATCTATGAGCCTCAACTTCATCCACATGTCTGTGCCACAGTCTTAAGGTGATCAGAAAATCAGAGGCAGGGTATATTCAGCACTTCACCTGGACTGCATACTCAAATGTATCCTTGCTTCCTTGTTATTCACCTTCACTGCCGTGGTCTACACTCCTAAAGAGCAAACAAATATTACATCAGATTCTGATGGATTATCTTAAATTCCGATGGATTATGTTAAATTATATTAAACTTGTTTCAGAATCCCCAGGACAGCATGGGTAACCATCCTAGATGTGGAGAGTGGGCAACTTCTGATTAAAAGGCAAAGTGTGCTAACTAAGGAGCTCTGAGTACCCAGATGGGTCAAAGAGCTTGTCAAATTTTGGACTTACCATAGATCTGGTGGCCATCAGCAAGCTCTGAATTGAAGTTTAAAAAGTGTCTTGTGTGGAACACAACTTTCCCAAACATTTTAAAATTCTATTTATAATTATAACCTGCATATTTTGAACTAGATTGTAAGTGACTTACAATAAACCTCAACATAAAATTAGAAGTTAGAAAACTGAAAGGAATTGTAGAAAGAAAAGAAAGCACATACAGCAGCCTCCTTGTTTGATGTGTTAATTATGGTTGAACATTAATTTAGCTCTAAGCTTCCTGGCACCCAGGGGAAGAATGGAAACATAACAGATTATATAATTCTCACTGACTAATAAAGACGACACAAGGAGTCTTTCTGGAAATTAAATTGTAAGATTTAAAGGTGCGGCCATAAAGAAGTAAGAAGAAGTTTACAAATTGCATCAACAAATGTGCTTTATCTCCTTGTTTCGCAGGTGTGGCTTTGAGCTCTGCTAGCAGTGCTGGAGGTGAAGTACAACAAAGTACATCTGGCAGATAGGATGTGACCTTTAGGGCATGTGACTCAGGAGGAAACCTGGCAAGATACAGATGAACGTGCCTAGTGTTAGCATATGAGATAAACCTAAATAAATAGGGGAAAACAGGTAAAAA